ATCCATGGGACAATGCGAGGCATGTCACAAGTCAGTCACCATCACACTGCAGTTTATAGTCACCCTAAGATAATACACGGTTTAGTCAACATTCAAGAGTTGGACAAGCATGAAAGCAGGGATCAAGAAATTAGGGATGAAATTAAGCCTTAATTCAAGAGCTCCCTAAAAATCTGTCTGTCGCCCAAATACTGATGAGTACTAACAAACACGACAGCGAGTGGAAATGAACTAGAACAGGCAACATAAGCTCGAACTGGGAACCCGGGAACGGAGGGAGAGTTGGAATGTGATTGTTGGCTGAGGATCTCGCTGTCTGTGGTCACGCAGCGGCGGTAATAACAAGGTGTGCAGGTGCCCATGCGCGCGCCAGGCCTTTACCTCTTCCTAAGGCGTGCACTGATTTCCTAATACCCATTTCAGACATTATATGCGGTATGTTAGGACTACATGTACAAAATAGAACGCAATGTTAATATGACCCCCTTTCAAACAGCCCCTTATTGACCACTTATTATTTATAAATGTCAGTGAGTAACTGGCAAATTGGGAGGGGTGGGGTGGGGTGGGGTGGGGGGTTAAACCATGGGGGCTGATTGCAGTTCAAATTAGGGAGGTGTTAAACAATTAAAGTGTTAATACATTTACCTGCAAAAAAGCAGAGAACCATTCACACAGACCTGATACCAGTTTTTTGCTTACAGGATCTGTGAAAATTGCAGGAATCATGACTAGGTCTTAAGGTGGCTTTTATTTTTCCAGTTTTTTTTTACCCCTACCCCTTTCAGATTTACGAAAAAGCAGGTATAAAAATGCAGGCGTGGTAAATTAATGGGATTTAGGTCTGTGTATGAAAGGGATATTAGAAAGTCAGTGATATGTATAGGCTACCAATGCTAATATAGCTGGTCCAAATTATGCAATTTGCGTCACTCTGTAGCATTGAATAAACTGTATCAGCTTTATACAAATGAATGCATGCTGTTTACTGGGAGCAATACAAAAGCTTTGAGAACCGTGTATTTGACTTGTCAATAATGTCATTCAACTATAAAACCAGCACGTTACCATTTTTATTACATTTACATTTTAGTCATTTAGCAGACGCTCTTATCCAGAGCGACTTACAGTTAGTGAGTACATACATTTTCATACTGGCCCCCCCGTGGGAATCGAACCCACAACCCTGGCGTTGCAAACGCCATGCTCTATCAACTGAGCTACACGGGACCTACGTCATCAGTATCAATTAATTAATTTGTGAAGACCAATACCTTAAACATACATTGAATTCATGTTCAAATTAAGGAACCTGGAATATAGCCTAATTACATTTAGAAATAGCTAAATAAAATGCAGAGAACATTTATAAATTGAACCAGAAAGCGAAACAGTGACAGGTGAAGTTGGAAATGTAAGTTTAAATATTGTCAAATTTTGAAGGTCCCTTGGGATAGGCCTATGTCAGGAAGCAGCGTCACTAAACAAACAACACTTTCCACCTCCAAAGTTATTGAGCATTCCATGAAAGGGCCTCCAGATCTGACAAGCAATATAACCGCGCCTACACCGAGCTCCAACATATAAAAATGAAAAGTTGGAGGGACTTTGTCACACTGTAACGACTCATTACCATTGGCCCCGACACCCTGACTCAGTTTATTAGCCTCCTAGCAACTGCAGACAAAGAGGCCGGGTTTTAGTGGGATCCGCCGGGGCCGGGCTTGCCTTTGATCTGTGCCCGTTAAGGAGAGGGGAGTAAGGGGGAGTCAGGGCCCGAGCACCCGGGGGTTGGTGCGCAGAGAGAGGGTCCCTACCCCATTGAAGTTGAAATGTAAAATGGTTAGGGTTGGGGTTAAGGTTAGGGCTTAGGGTAAGGACGTCCCAAGGATCCCGGATAGCACTAACCGCAGAGAGAGGGGACTGGTCTGTCCCAATCATGCGAAATTCATAAGTCGCAGTCCATTGAAGGGGGCATTAGCTTTCACCATAACACAAGGACAGACAGATAGACAAATAGGCTACCATTATAGAAGTATTGGGATAAAATCTTACATCTGATAATTTTCAGATAAATTATTATTTGGTAGCCTATGAAATAGCCAATTCAGACCGTGCAGTCACTTTTAGAACATTTTGTCCACAATGATTCCGGATTTCAGCCGCCTCGCTCAGTCTCTCTGTCTGTCTCTGCTGCACTGACTGACACGTATTTATTCACAGACAATAGGCCTCTCCAAATGAAGTTAGTGATGCTAAAGCACTAGAGACCACTGCAGATTGATACCGTAGTTCCTTATTTAATATTGCGAATAACATGTTCAATAGAGATCTAAAAATGAAAGTGTAGGCCTAGTAATATTTATAAACGTGCCTACAACAAACATTAACAAACACAAATTATTATGCTATTTATGAAATTTTGTTAATTTGGAAGATGATAACCTATAATCCATTAAATAATGTATTATATTTATAGGCTAATATCAAACAGTTTTAAATTGAACGAGTATAGTAAAGCCCATAGTTTTTTTTAGGCCTTTTTGGGCCTTAGTTTTCTTTTAAAATGCGTTCAAAAATCAAACATCAATTTCCGTTTTCTCTATATGTTTCCTCAATGGGTGGATTATTTTACATCCTAGCTTGTCTCATATGGGCCATTTCATGAAAATAATACAAATGATTTGAAAAATAAAATATTTTACCACTGTGACTACACGCCCATCACACACATTTTGAACCAAGAGTCTTAATGTATTTTTTTTTAAATTAAAGTAATTTTTCATTAATTTAAAACTCTTAAATAATACAAACACTGATTCATTGATTTTTTTCCAAAATACAAATAACATGAAAAAACTAAAACCTTATTTTGTTCAAATAGGCTACTTCTAAATCGAAATATATTTGGACTCTTCAAATGTTCTAAAAAAAGACAATTATCTCTGCAAAAATGGTATCAAATGAGAACTGTAGCCTGCTCACTTACAGATGAAAATGAGAGAGACAGGTGTAACAGTAGGCTAGTCTTCTCAGGAGACTTCTTATAGTATCTCAAAGGAGTTGACACTGAAAAAGGCAGGCCTACAGTAAATTATAGGAAATCTGAATACAGCTAATTGGAGAGTTAACGAGTTAAATCACATTACATGTAACATTGCCTCATCAACTCATCATTATGCTACAAATGCCTCAAAATCACTGTAAGACTTTAATTGTCAAACTGTGTGGTCAAGGACTCTAGTGTCTATAATTTAAACTAGTTGTTTTATTGCATGGGACTACTCTTTTGTTGAAATTAATTTGTTGCATATTGTCATTAGCACACTATTAAAATAATGAAGTCCGTATTTGGGCATCCCCGGCAGGAAATTAAGCAAATAAAACAGTCTTTACCACCTGCCACCCGGGTACCATCAAGATTAATGGAAAAATATGTAAAACATTTCATTTAAATGTTCATCTGACACTGTTTTGCATGCATGTTCTCTGCTCTGTCATATGGTCATAATTTATGAAAGCAATCTGGATCAACATAACTGGGGCTATGAAAACAGCCTCCCAGCCGAATAGATTCCCATCTCCATTTTGTTGAGTGAGGTTATAATCGAGTTAATTGCTATTTACTCTCTCTGGGAATACCAGCAAAATGTATTTAAATGCATCTGTCATTGCCAGGGCTGAGAAGATCATGTCAGTTCCATTAAAGACACGTCTTGGAGAATTACACTGGATAAATAGGCAGGAGTGATGGAGAAACATCCACAAAAATGTTTCAGTCAAATCAATTACACACCAAAATAACAACTAGTGGTAACTTAAATAGTGTGAAATAAGGTAGCCCTAAAGGTATCATTGATTTGTCTGACTAAACTTTGAGACAGGTCAATGGCTGATGAACCTGACCTGCAAAAGAGTAGTGTTGCATATTGTAGCCTGGAATCCAAACTGAATTACACTCCATTTCACTATAGTTACACTTCAGTTAAACAGAATGGATTCAGTTAGGATTCCAGAGTATACTGTTATTGTACTCAGACAGAAACACATGGCAACGTTTCAACACCAGGTGGATCTCCATACCCCCTTGACCTGCAACTCGGATCCAAATATCTCTAACAACGCTTGGTACACATAGGCATGAATGGCAGGCCTATTTTGCAGCCAAGTATAATTTGATGTGATATGACAATGCTGTCAATATTGTGCTAAGATAGTCCACTAAATAAATACCTGTTTGATACTTCCAGAGAAGGAGTGACATGGGTGGAGAGTAGCCCCACCAGATATTTCCTGGGCACAGACACAGGGCACAGACAGGGTAGCATGCAACTCTGGTACAGGCCACATAACCCGATAGGCTACTGCATTCAGAGAACTGATGGGTTATGCCACTAGGGTTTGAATTATGGGGTTGAATACCTAGGGGTGCTGGGCACTTTTATGATACAGTATAAATGTGGGAACACCCAGAGCCATTGGAAATGTCAATGTTGGTCTTTCCCACTGCTTCAGGGCATCCCTAAGAATCAATGCATCATTTAAACATGTCAGGAAGTTTTACCGTATTGTCAACTCTCTTCTAAAAAACAACTACATTTTCTGAACACACAGAACCATGTTTATGTGTGATATTCCCATTCATAGTTGAGGTTTGTAAAAACATATACATAACAGTAATATCAAGCTTTCAGAACAGCCTGCACTTTTGGGACTATATTTCTTTGTAAGAAATTACAATTATTAAACTATATATTTGAACGCATGCAGGTCTGCTTTTAAGACACTAGCCTTTACACTCAAGTCCCCCCAAAACGACACTTGCATTATTCACACTTAGGCCTCCCAAACACACGCACACACTTCAGAGGGGGTTCCCTGAGCCCGTTTGTGGAATAAGCAGAAGTCAACTTCAGACGCTCCTGTCACCCAATCATAGCGACCGAATAGCAGGTGGAAAATGAGATTGAGGCAAAAACAAACAGAACACCATGACAAAATCACAACTAAATAAAAGCGAAAGGCAAAATAAGTGGGAAGGAGTGAGAAAGAGGTGTGAGTGTGACAGAGAGAGAGAGATGGAGAGATATGTGGCCAAATGCCAAGGAGACAGCTTATTGTTGGGTTTTTTGGCTGGGCACAGTGGTGGCTTCAATCTTTTTGTCTGGCTTTGGCCTGGTACAGACCTGAGAACCCGCTCCAGACACAATAGATCGTACAGCAGCGAGTCTAAATTACACACACACACACACACACACACACACACACACACACACTGTATTTCTGTTTCATTACCATGGCCACCATGAACCATTCAACACATTATCCCTCAGTTCACAGTTAATGGCTGTGTCGCAGCAGTTAGAAAAACAATCTTATCACAGAAGGAGGGAAGTAAAAACAGAGAAATATGGACAATTGTTCATTTTCATTTTGAGATAACTGGTCAAAGTGTGTGTGCGAGAGACAGTGTGTCTGTGTTCGTATGCCTCTCTGGTGCAGAGGTCAGCGAGGGCCTGATGCCCAGTTCAATCGTATTAATACGGCCCCTTCAAGGAGAACACCGGCCCTCAGTCCACACACAAAGACCTCAGCTTTACTGATGGGCAAAACCTCAGATTGTTGCTTTACCTAAATGCGCTGAGGCTCTTTAGTAAACAGAGCTTTGATGTGGGGCTGAGTGCTGGGGCTCAAAGGAGTGTGTGTGTGTCTGTTAGTGTGTGAGAGAGAGAGAGAGAGAGAGAGAGAGAGAGAGAGAAGAGAGAGAAGAGAGAGAAGAGAGGAGAAGAAGAGAGAGAGAGAGAGAGAGAGAGAGAGAGAGAGAGAGAGAGAGAGAGAGAGAGAGAGAGAGTGTGTGTATGTGTGTTTGTGCCCAAAGTGCCCAGCCTGAATGGAAAAACAACAGCGTCTTGTTGTGTTTGTTTAGCCTTTCCCCCGGCTGGACCCTGGAGGTGGGTGAGCATCTGTCATGACCCAGGAGAGGCAGGAGGCACAGGCACACACACACACTGCCAAAAAGTGCCCGCACCCCTAGCGTAACCCTGGATGCTCCATCACCACATGAAAAAATACTATAGTATAAACACTGTAGTATTACAATAATTTAAAAAACTGTAGCAATTGCAGACTGTAATGTTGTTTTGCGGACTGTACTGTAGTACTTACTTTTTACTATAGTATAAATACTGTAGTATTAGTATAGTAAAAAAAAAAACTATTGTATATACTATTGTATTTACAGTAGTGTTTTAGCGGACTAGTATACTGTAGTATTTATGTGGTGTTTTTGCGGACATTACTGTAGTATTTACTATAGTGCTTTTGTTTGATGATCTTTGACATAGAAGTGGGGGCTTTCTCCTTGAGGAAACCTACTGGACAAATACTAAAAGAGCACATTTTCCATAACCTGTAGGTAGGTAGGACTGGGTTCTGAACAGATATTTCATAGCTTCTGCTCTTTTCTATAACATGTAGGGAACACAATATGGTCTATACTTGGCATGTAGGTTTCTCACTTATGGGTGGCGGGAGGGCAATGGGCAGGGTATAGGCAAATTAAGTACTGTAGTATTACTATAGTTAAAAAACGGTAGTGTTTTTGCTGACTTTACTGTAGTGTTTTTGCTGAGTGTCGTATACTGCAGTATTTACTATAGTACTCTACAGTATACTACAACATTCTATAGTAAGTACTACACATGATCGAGGGATACTACAGTGTGTCAAAGGATACTACAGATTCTACAGACTATAACAGTTTACTACATAATTCTATAGTAAGTACTGTAGTATTCTATAGTAAACTGTAGTATCTTTTCACGTGGGTTACCATTGAAACAACTGCAGTCTTTTCACACCCATCGTGCCAACCCGAACCGTACTGTGCTGGCATGGATATTTTCTTCTCAAATTGTCCTTTCCAACATGGTTCCAGCAACGATGGCGCGTGCGCAACCAAGCCAGCGCAGTTTGGCACGGTCAGTAGTATGAAAAGTGTCAAATAATATCCTGCTTTACGACATGAACATCAGAGTCTAAAACATTAACCTTAAACCTGTCATTCTTACCACAAAGACACTGTAGGATATGAATATCAAACATTTGGTGCTTTATCAGTGAACAAATTCATCAACTGCATTTAATTTATCAACAATAATAAATTTCATTTCATTAACACAACAAACAAATCAACATCAATACAATCTAGAATTCAAGTGACTTTATACACCAGGCGTAGTGGGAAGTTTATGAAATGTTGGTGCTTTGTTCCAGCTGATAAATCTGGCTGGTGGAAGAGTTTGGGGTGTCCGGTGGTGTCCAGTCTCCTCTTGCTAACGCCAAGGTATACATAAAAGTGACACTTCTCACTGTCTCTCAACTTGTCTAGTTTTTTCCTCCTCTCATTTCACTCCTCTGGTTCTTTCCTCCCCCCATATCTTCTTCCCGAGCGCCTCACTTCCCCGTGACGGCGGCAGCTAGCGTTACGATGTTCTGAGCCTGCTTCACTGAGGGCATGTCGATCATACTGCCCCGGAAGGTGAAGGCACCCTGGAGACAGGAGAAGAGGTCAGTGGAGAATACTGGAGAAGCTATTGTGCATCCCAATAATATCTCCTTTCTCCTGAAGTGTGCATTTGTTCACTTTCCTTTCAAGTATATGGAAACTCCCTCTAGTCCACGCCTACACCAATCCAATGCTTTTAATTCTCGTGGGGAGTAGTGAACGAGTGCACATTCAGGAGGAAGGAGAGATGATTGGGACTCAACCAGCGAATGCAGCTTCCTTATCTCCTCCCCTTCATCTGCACTGGTTGGAAAAGACTTGACAGGTAAAAACATTTTGTGGAAGCTCATCACTAGGCTGGCTTACACCTGGTGAGATCATTTCAGATTGGTCCAACGAAGTAGAGGAGGAAAGGAATAAAAAAACAACAACAACGGGTCAGCACAGGGGTCAAATCCTAACTTGAGGTCTTGCACGTGTTGCTCCAAATTTCAGGAACCTTTTGGGGTAATAAAAGTTCACAGCTAAGAGAGAACAGTGTTCGACTTTCATTTCAGAGTCATTAGCACCTCACCAAAAGTGTGCGAAAAAACCCCCACAAAAACCAACCAAAACAACTGGCCCTACTCATAACAACTCTTATCATGGCTTGATATTGACTATTTTGCTGCAGAACACCATTAATATGGACAGGAGATATGTTCATATATTGACCTACAAATTATGATATTTCAGCATCTTTATTTAACAGACTATTACCAGACTAAAAAGCGGACATTTCTGATCAGCTCATCAGCCAGTTACTTCACAAGCAACCTACAATATCCTGAGCTCAGTTTGCTAAACGAGGGAAAACATTTTCTAAAACTAGACAATATGAATAAGAAGACATTGGCTAGGCATTCACAGTCAATAACGACTGAGAGCGTTCATGAAGAAACAAACGCCGCTGGGTCAGACAAAGAGAACGACTCTGCTCTCTGCTCAAACGCCTTAGACAACACGCACACACACCAGGGCTGGGTAGGATGGGTCCCTAGGGCAATGCTTAGTGTAGGCAGGGCAGAGGCCGGCTGGCAAAGAGAGAGAGAGGTGTGGGGCAAATTGTGTATTACTCACACCAGCCTCTCCCTCAATAGGCAGACAGCCCACAGAGCACTACACACAGGAGGCAACGATGCACTAAATTAGAAACAATAATCGAATCAAATCAAATGTTATTTGTCACATGCGCCGAATACAACAAGTGTAGACCTTACTGTGAAATGCTTACTTAGAAGCTTTTAACCAACAATGCAGTTTTAAGAAAATAGGTTAAGAAATTATTTACTAAATAAACTAAAGTAAAATATAAAAAAGTAACACAATAAAATAACAATAATGAGGCTATATACAGGGGGTACCGAGTCAATGTGCGAGGGTACAGGTTAGTCAAGATAATTTGTACATGTAGGAAGGGGTAAAGTGACTATGCATAGATAATAAGCAGCGAGTAGCAGCAGTGTAAAAACAAAGGGGGGCGGGGGGGGTGTACGTCAATGCAAATAGTCCGGGTGGCCATTTGATATTTAATATTCTACACTTAATTTACCCCTCCGTCCCACACCAATCCATATTCCAACCCCAAATCTACTGTACTGACTCTGCAGTGGCGTGTATACAGAAAAGGACATTAACGATTAAGAGGTGTGTGTGTGCGTGTACAGTGCATTCGAAAAGTATTCAGACCCATTTACTTTTTCCACATTTCGTTACATTACAGCCTTATTCTAAAATATATTAAATAAATAAAAATCCTCATCAATCTACACACAATACCCCATAATGACAAAGCGAAAACAGGTTTTTAGAAATGTTTCGATACGCCATCCCATCTGGTTTTGGTTTAGTGGAACTATCAATTTTTTTTCCAACAGGACAATGACCCAACACACCTCCAGGCTGTGTAAGGGCTATTTTACCAAGAAGGAGAGTGATGGAGTGCTCCATCAGATGACCTGGCCTCCACAATCCCCCGACCTCAACCCAATTGAGATGGTTTGGGATGAGTTGGACGGCAGAGTGAAGGAAAAGCAGCCAGAAAGTGCTCAGCATATGTGGGAACTCCTTCAAGACCGTTGGAAAAGCATTCCAGGTGAAGCTGGTTGAGAGAATGCCAAGAGTGTTGCAAAGCTGTCATCAAGGCAAAGGGTGGCTATTTGAAGAATCTCAAATATAAAATATACTTTGATTTGTTTAACACTTGTTTGGTTAATACATGATTCCATATGTGTTATTTCATAGTTTTGATGTCTTCACTATTATTCTACAATGTAACATTTTTTAAAATTAAGAAAGACCCTTGAATGAGTAGGTGTGTCCAAACCTTTGACTGGTAGTGTATGTTCTCTTTATATTTTCTTGCACATAATGGCATAGTGTGAGCCATCCTGTAATGTGTATTTGAATGCACTTATGCACTGATGTCGTCCTGTGAATTTCTTTATAAAGTCCTAAGCAATAACACGTTAATAAAAATGTCTTAACTCTACATTTTGCAGTTGACTACTATACTTGATTTACCTTTCCCTGCTTCTGGTACTCGTCAAAGCCAGCGATGAGTTCTGTAGCCCACTGGACCCTCTCCTGACTGGGGGAGAACTCCTCCTGTACCGCCTGGACCTGGTTGGGGTGGATCACCTGCTTACCTGTATAGGGAAAAGGAAAATACATACATGTACATTAGCAAATAATGTACATGAATACAGAAATGTCAATAATATCTTCAAGCGAATAACTTAACAATCATCTGCTTATCTGCATAGGGAAAAATATAAATATAGCCTACATTATACAGTACATTTTCTACAAGCATAAAGAAACACCAACAACATCGCAAAATTAATACAACTATTTCATGCTTTATCTGTGGCTTACTGAGGCTTACTGAGACATTCAACACAACTGCTAACTACTTGGTACAAAATGGAACATGTTGGTGCTTTTCAAATTACTTGGTAAAATTATAATAATGTATTTCTTAACATGTTATTTTATCAACAAAGACCAGATAAATAGTGGACTGTAAAATAAAGTGTCACTGTGATTAAACTATTTTTGTAGAGGCTTTTATACTGTTGTATTGGAAGGTAGCCATCCACAAGCTGCTCTTTCTCTGGCAGGCGAGGTGTCTGTGCCCAGCCGGTGGCCCCACGTTCGATTGGTGTTTGTTTGTGTTTTCAGTCAGTGTGTGCTTGGTTGGTGGCCCTGTGTTCAGTAGGTGTGTGTGTGTGTTGGCCAGTGTGTGTGTTTGTGTCTGTGTTCCGTCAGGGTCTCTCAGACTGTATATGGGACACCGTGGGGCGAGAGGAAGTGATGCATCACAAGTATCATGGGGTGTCCCCTCCATTTTGTCCTTGAGCGGCACCGTATCGTGGCTGTACCTCGGCTGTAGAGGAGAAACTTTGCTGCACGCTTAGTTACGCTTCAATCTCAGCCTGAACCCGTCTGGAACAGGACCCTGACTGCTGCTTAACAGGCTTGTGAGAGCTCGAAGAATACACACAGTAAGCATATCATTGTTAGTCTATACCTGTTGTTAACGAAGCATGTGACAAATACAATTTTGATTTGACATACACACACAGGCAGGCTGGAAGACTGACATGCACACAGGCAGGCACATACACACAGGTAGGCACACACACACACACACACACACACACACACACACACAAAAGCACACACACACACACACACACACACACACACACAACACACACACACACACACACACACACAGCAATAATTCACTGCAGGTGTACATGCTATTAAGTAATAATAATGTAACAATTCAGCTGCCAAATTCTAATGTACAATCATTCTCACCAGTCTAAGAAAATATCACAGTATTAAAAAGATAATGATTCAAATCGGATCTATTCCATATCTCCGTTCTCCCAAACCCCAAAAAGAGCATAATTTTCTCTGAACCAACCAATTCTCTCCAAGTCCAAATAATCCCCAACCAGTCAAACAAGACAATGCCAAAAGACCAAGAAACACCACCTTTTCGCCCCTGTATGTCTGTACTTCACAACATTTACGTCATTTAGCAGACACTGTTATCCAGAGCAACTTACAGGAGCAATGAGGGTTAAGTGCCTTGCTCAAGGTTTTTCACCTATATCGGCTTGGGGACTCGAAACAGCGACCTTTTGATTACTGGCCAAACGCTCTTACCGCTAGGCTACCCGCCACCCAACTAACAAGGCGTTAAACACATTCTGACACAATCCACAATCCTCATAAGTCTCAGAGCTAATGCACAGCGCTCTGCACTGCCATTTTCTTTTCTTATTTAACCATAATGTAACTAGGCAAGTCAGTTAAGAACAAATCCTTAGTTACAATGACGGCCTACCAAATGGCAAAAGGCCTCCTGCTGGGACGGGGGCTGGGATAAAAAAAAATTATATATAGGACCAAACACACATCACAACCATAACCCTGTGAACATTGACAGATCAAACTTGTAGTGATAACCTTAACTTCTGAAACGTCTTGCGGGAGCGACAGGCCCTGGCAGTTGCCAGCAGGTTCTCATCACTTTAGGACTTAAAGCTGTCTCACAAAACAAATCCTTCAAGGTAGCAGAGAGAAGAGAAGAGTTAGTGCTAGCAGGCAGGCAGTTATCGCTAGGCTAGCAGAAAGGAGCCCAGCAAAGAAAAACTAAACTAGACCCCAATCTGCCCCTCTCATCCTGGTTAAACCCTGAGAAACAGTGTCTGCCTTTTCTGTTTCACTTAAGAGTGTAGTTTGATAATGCTTTGTGAAAATAATTTAAAAATACATTTTCATTGGAGGTATATTTATTTATGTGACGGTGTTTGAATTCAAAAACATACGAATGTGTGTGTGTGAGCAAATTAAGTATATGTGTGAGTGTGTGTGTTGGAGTATCAGTGTGAGTGAGTGTGTAGAGTCCTGTGAGTGTGCATAGAGTCAGTGCAAAAAAATAAAAAATAAAATATCAATTCAGATAGTCTGTGTAACCTTTTTGTTAGCTATTTAGCAGTCTTATGGCTTGGGGATAGAAGCTGTTCAGGAGCCTGTTGATGTCAGACTTGTTGCTCCGGTACCGCTTGCCGTACGGAAGCTGATAGAACAGTCTATGGCTTGGGTGGCTGGAGTCTAACAATTCTCTGGGCCTTCCTTTCATACCGCCTGATATAGAGGTCCTAGATGGCAGGGAGTTTGGCCCTGGTGATGTACTGGGCTGTCTGCACCACCCTCTGTAGCACCATGCGATCGAGGGCGGTGCAGTTGCCATACCAAGCAGTGATGCAGCTAGTCAAGACGCTCACAATGGTGCAGCTGTAGAACGTTTTGGAGGATTTGAGGGCCCATGTGTCACGCCCTGGCTCGGGGGACTCTCGTATGTTGAGCCAGGGTGTTAGTTTCTATGTTTTTCATTTCTATGTTGGCCAGGGTGGCTCCCAATCAGAGACGGCTGTAGCTCGTTGTCTCTGATTGGGAGTCATACTTAGGTAGCCGTTAGGCTTTCATTCGTTGTGGTTTCTTGTTCTTATTTGGTTTGTGTTAAACCGTAGACGTCACGTTATCGTCTGTTGTTTTGATCGTGTGATCATTCTCTAAATAAATATGTTCACCCTCAACGCTGCGCCTTGGTCCTCCTCCTTAGACGATCGTGACAGAAGAAACCACCTCGACTGGATCAAGCAGCGTGACGAGGAGAGAGGATGGACTTGGGAGGAGATGAGTGCGAGTCTGGCAAGAGGGATGGAGGCCTTGGCCACGGGTAGGAGTGAAGCCCATACATTTTTTAGGGGGGGGCTAACGCCGTGGACGACGGGGCAGCAGGAGGCCGCCAGGTTACGGGAGTCACTGGTCACCAGGGGGAAGGAGGATGTAGAGGCACGGCGAGAGGTACTGGCGTGTGTTGCCAGTCCGGGCCGGCCTGTTCCTGATCCCCACGTAGGGCCAGTGGTGTGTGTTCCCAGTACGGTCCGGCCTGTTCCTGCTCCCCGCACCAAGTCAGTGGTGCGCTTCGTCAGCCCGGCTCGGCCCGTTCCTGCTCCCCGCACCAAGTCAGTGGTGCGCTTCGTCAGCCCGGCTCGGCCCGTTCCTGCTCCCCGCACCAAGTCAGTGGTGCGCTTCGTCAGCCCGGCTCGGCCCGTTCCTGCTCCCCGCACCAAGTCAGTGGTGCGCTTCGTCAGCCCGGCTCGGCCCGTTCCTGCTCCCCGCACCAAGTCAGTGGTGCGCTTCGTCAGCCCGGCTCGGCCCGTTCCTGCTCCCCGCACCAAGTCAGTGGTGCGCTTCGTCAAACCGGCTCGGCCCGTTCCTACTTCCTGCTCCCCGCACCAAGTCAGTGGTGCGCTTTGTCAGCCCGGCTCGGCCCGTTCCTGCTCCCCGCACCAAGTCAGTGGTGCGTTTCGTCAGCCCGGTTTGGCCCGCTCCTGCTCCCCGCACCAAGTCAGGGGTGCGTTTCGTCAGCCCGGCTCGGGCCGTCCCTGCTCCCCACACCAAGCCAGTGGTGTGCGTCGTCAGTCCGGCACAGCCCGTGCCTGTTCCACTGGTGCCTGGTTCAGCACGGGTCAGCTGCTTCACGCCGGAGCTAGAGCAATCCGCTCCACCAGTGTGCAGTCCAGCTCCGGTCAGCAGGGCCAGACCGGACCAGGGGTACTTTGGGGGGTTAGAGAGCGAGTGGGGATCATGCCCGGAGCCGGATCCGCCGCCAAGGCGGAGTGCCCACCCGGTCCCTCCCCTGTTGTGTTTGGTTGGCGCGGTCGGAGTCCGCGCCTTTAGGGGGGGGTACTGTCACGCCCTGGCTCGGGGGACTCTCGTATGTTGAGCCAGGGTGTTAGTTTCTATGTTTTTCATTTCTATGTTGGCCAGGGTGGCTCCCAATCAGAGACGGCTGTAGCTCGTTGTCTCTGATTGGGAGTCATACTTAGGTAGCCGTTAGGCTTTCATTCGTTGTGGTTTCTTGTTCTTATTTGGTTTGTGTTAAACCGTAGACGTCACGTTATCGTCTGTTGTTTTGATCGTGTGATCATTCTCTAAATAAATATGTTCACCCTCAACGCTGCGCCTTGGTCCTCCTCCTTAGACGATCGTGACACCATGCCAAATCGTTTCAACCTCCTGAGGGGGAAGAGGCGCTGTCGTGTTTCTTCACGACTGTGTGCATGTGTTGTGGACCAAATCAAATCAAATTTTTTTGCCACATGCGCCGAATACAACAGGTGTAGACATTACAGTGAAATGCTTACTTACAAGCCCTTAACCAACAAAAAGTTTAAAAAGGACCATTTTAAGTCCTTAGTTATTTGGACACCGAGGAACTTGAAGCTCTCGACCCGCTCCACTAAAGTGGACCCAATGTGGATGGGGGCGTGCTCGCCCCTCCATTTCCTGTAGTCCACGATCAGCTCCTTGGTCTTACTGACGTTGAGGGAGAGGTTGTTGTCCTGGCACCACACTGCCAGGTCACTGACTTCCTCCCTGTAGGCAGTCTCATCATCGCCGGTGATCAGGCCTACCACCGCCGTGTCGTCAGCAAACTTGATGATGATGCTGGAGTCGTGTGTGGTCACGCAGTCGTAGGTGAACAGGGTGTACAGGAGGGGACTAAGCACACACCCCTGTGGGTCCCCTGTGTTGAGGGGGTCAGCGTGGTGGAGGGGATGGTGCCTAAACCTCACCACCTAAGGTCGGACCATCCGGTTGCAGAGGGAGGTTTTCAGTTCCAGGGTCCCAAGCTTGGTGACGAGCTTGGAGGGGACTATGATGTTGAACACTGAGCTGTGGTCAATAGTCAATAAACAGCATTCTCACATAGGTATTTATCTCATCTAGGTGGGTGAAGGCAGTGTGGAGTGCAATTGAGATTGTGTCGTCTATGGATCTGTTGGGGCGGTGTGAAAATTGGAGTGGGTCTAGGGTGTCTGGGATGATGGAGTTAATGTGTCCCATAACCAGCGTTTCAATGCACTTCATGATTACAGATATGAGTGATACAGGGCAGTAGTCATTATGGCAGGCAGCATTATAGTTATTGGGTACAGGAATGATGGTGGTCAGCTTGTGGGGATTACAGAATGGGAAAAGGAGAGATTGAAATTTACAGTGAATATGCCTGCCAGCTGTTCTGCGCATGCTCTGAGAACACGGCCTGGAATACCGTCTGGCCCCGTGGCCTTGCGAGTGTTGACCTGATTAAAAACCTTACTCACGTCAGCCTCAGAGAGCGAGATAACCAAGTCCTCTGGGTCATCGGGGGGCCCTCATGCACAGCTAGTTGTTGTTTTGTCGAAGCGTGCCGGGTTAAGAATATGTATGTGCTCTGTAATATGAACTTTCAATTATCTTACAGTTTCCAACATAATAATAGCCACATGGACACTAAAGTAAATAGAAAACAAATGTTGTTTTACAAGACATTCTACCCGACATACATGTTCTTTCCCGTATGAGTGTGAAGCAGGATGTTAGGTTGCTTCCTGTGAGCAACAGCTGCACATTTCTTTGTTTATTCACATTTTTATTTTGAAGCTCTTGTGGAAAATAGTAGAAAATATATGTAAGTAATGAATGTAAATAGTGAAAAAAACAAAGAAGCAGTATTGCAATGTGACATCATCTATAAATATGGGTGAATGTCGAGTGTTCTCCAAAGGCTGACTAAGGCTGCCGACGAAACGTGTCCGTTTGTTCTGACCTCTGCTGCTAAAAAATATATATTAAAACTTATATATTTCAGTGAATGCAGGTTTTTCCTTTCTTCAACTATATGCCTTTTGAACCCGGCACACAAATACTTTTTGTTACTACAAACATTTGAGCTGAGCACGCCAATTTCTCCTTCCCCTCTTTACCACGCATTCAGGCACTGCCAGGGTTAAAGCCGAGAAACGTATGTGTTTGTGTCTAGTGACGGGAGAGTGACAGAGCACACTGACAGACAGGGTGACTCAGGTCCCTTCACTTACACCCCATTGGCTCTCCCAAAACGCATTACTCATGCCCTCCAGCCAATCCCAGGCTGCCATGTGGTGCTGGCCCCCCATTGGAGGATTGCTATTTAGCAAAGTGCTCTCAGGCGAATGATGGGCAGGGTCCCTGGGATGCGAGTGAAATACCATTTGAAAAAAGCATAGAATTTCCACTGAGATTCGGGTAAATGCTTTCTCTATTTGCTTCTGCTGCTGATTTTTCCAGTTAAAGGAGAATTTCACAGATGGTTGCAAAATAATGCTTTGCCACCAAAACCGTTTAGTAAAAGCACAGAAAGGGCTGCCATTTTATGGTAAGACAGTGGGCGGGGGACACAAAAAGACTACACAGCTACAAAATGGACTTGCTACAAAAATCATATGGACAAGCTACAATAAATCTGATACTCTGGAAAAAATTGCTGAAAAGTCTATGACATCACATCAGAAAAATAATGTTGCTACAATTCTAAATCCTTATAAAATCACTCAAAAGAACATGAAAAACACGCCACTTTATGGTATCAGCAACATGCCCATCCTAATGGTGCTGTATGGGGTTCAGGCCTTGTCCAGGTCAATTACTGGAAAGGTACAGGCCTTTTCTGGCTTCTACTGTATTACTGCTTAAGTAGACTGTGTGGCCAGTAATAACTAAGATTATATATACGGTGCTAGCACCCATGTCTTTAAGCCACTAAGCCATAATCCACAGAGTATTGTCTTCCTTATCAAATTCAACCATTAAAGATGCCATATCTTAATTTGATCATCCTGTTGTTGCAGGAATATTTATGTGCAGCAGTAAATGCACACTTGTAGTGTATTCTAGGTCTAAAAACGCTTCTGAAGTTTGTAATTTCCACTTTAAAATGTCAGACTTGATTTGCCCTAACGAAAAATGCATCAACCCCTACAAAAAATGTCCTTTAATTATAATCCATACAATAATTCACATTTCCTGTTGTTGCAGGATTATTTTCCTGCTGTGATAAACTGGGTCAGATGAAGATACGGCGCAGTTGTCTAAGGCACTGCATCGCAGTGCTAGCTGTGCCACTAGAGATCCTGGTTCAAATCCAGGCTCTGTCGTAGCCGGCCGCGACCGGGAGACACATGGGGCGGCGCACAATTGGCCCAGCGTCGTCCAGGGTAAGGGAGGGAATGGCCGGCAGGGATGTAGCTCAGTTGGTAGAGCATGGCGTTTGCAATGCCAGGGTTGTGGGTTCGATTCCCATGGGGGGCCAGTATGGAAAAGTAAAAAATAATGTATGCACTCACTAACTGTAAGTCGCTCTGGATAAGAGCGTCTGCTAAATGACTAAAATGTAAATGTAAATGTATGCTGTATTCACTGTCTGACCCACTCTCTCAATGTTTTGGCTTTCAAATAATTAATTATTTAGGTGTATAAACTTGGATACTTTCAAAAACCATTATGTTTAAGCCTTTGATAGGTCCACCATTTTCATTTGAAATATTTACTTATGTGCCTAATTCTACAAAATAAATCAATAGGAGATGCACAGTACATCAGATATTGTTATGCTTACACTTTTTTTGGGGGGATGCACCTTTTAAAAGACAAGCCACATATTCAGACCTTTAAGTGTATAATGGAGCCAGGAATAGAATACGAAATGATTCAGTAAGTACAATTAAGTTCTAATTCACAGCGCAAATAAAGCTAAATCAAACAGAACTCATTTAAATATAGAGTCTACCTACAGTGAGGGAAAAAAGTATTTGATCCCCTGCTGATTTTGTACGTTTGCCCACTGACAAAGAAATGATCAGTCTATAATTTTAATGGTAGGTTTATTTGAACAGTGAGAGACAGAATAACAACAACAAAATCCAGAAAAACGCATGTCAAAAATGTTATGAATTGATTTGCATTTTAATGGGAAATAAGTATTTGACCCCCTCTCAATCAGAAATATTTCTACTCCCAGGTGTCTTTTATACAGGTAACGAGCTGAGATTAGGAGCACACTCTTAAACGGAGTGCTCCTAATCTCAGCATGTTACCTGTATAAAAGACACCTGTCCACAGAAGCAATCAATCAATCAGATTCCAAACTCTCCACCATGGCCAAGACCAAAGAGCTCTCCAAGGATGTCAGGGACAAGATTGTAGACCAACACAAGGCTGGAATGGGCTACAAGACCATCGCCAAGCAGCTGATGGTGACAACAGTTGGTGTGATTATTCGCAAATGGAAGAAACACAAAATAACTGTCAAACTCCCTCGGCCTGGGGCTCCATGCAAGATCTCACCTCGTGGAGTTGCAATGATCATGAGAACAGTGAGGAATCAGCCCAGAACTTCACGGGAAGATCTTTTCAATGATCTCAAGGCAGCTGGGACCATAGTCACCAAGAAAACAATTGGGGGGGGGGTTCTGCTAAGGGGACATGACAACTTCACCGCATCAAAGGGACGATGGACCTCCTTCCCTCAGCCAGGGCATTGAAAATGGGTCGTGGATTGGTATTCCAGCATGACAATGACCCAAAACACACGGCCAAGGCAACAAAGCAGTGGCTCAAGAAGCAGCACATTAAGGTCCTGGAGTGGCCTAGCCAGTCTCCAGACCTTAATCCCATAGAAAATCTGTGGAGGGAGCTGAAGGTTTGAGTTGCCAAACGTCAGCTTCGAAACCTTAATGACTTGGAGAAGATCTGCAAAGAGGAGTGGGACAAAGTCCCTCCTGAGATGTGTGCAAACCTGGTGGTCAACTACAAAAAACCTCTGACCTCTATGATTGCCAACAAGGGTTTTGCCACCAAGTACTAAGTCATGTTTTGCAGAGGGGTCAAATACTTATTTCCATAATTAAAATGCAAATTAATTTATAACATTTTTGACATGCGTTTTTCTGGATTTTTGTTGTTGTTATTCTGTCTCTCACTGTTAAAATAAACCTACCATTAAAATTATAGACTGATCATGTCTTTGTCAGTGGGCAAACATACAAAATCAGCAGGGGATCAAATACTTTTTTCCCTCACTGTATGTGATGTAATAAACTCATAATATATATTGATAATAACTAGTCCCAGTCAAACACACACATACACACTCAACACCTGTCTTTTGGACTGTAAACAGTAATAATAATTCATTTAATTTGTAAAGCACTTTTCTCACACCCAAGGCACAAAAAAAAAGTTGTGGTTAGTAGTTTGGCTGTGGTCATTAGTTGTGTGGTTCAGTAGTTGTGCGGTCAGTAGTTGTGTGGTTGTGGTCAGTAGTTGTGTGGTTCAGTAGTTGTGTGGTCAGTAGTTGTGTGGTTCAGTAGTTGTGCAGTCAGTAGTTGTGTGGTTGTAGTCAGTTGTTTTGGTAAGTAGCTGTGTGGTTGTGGTCAGTAGTTGTGTGGTTCAGTAGTTGTGTGGTCAGTCGTTTTGTGGCTGTGGTACGAAATGTATGCACTCACTACTGTAAGTCGCTCTGGATAAAAGCGTCTGCTAAATGACTAAAATGTAAAAATGACAAATGTGGTTAGTAGTTGTAGTCTGTAGTTGTGGTCAGCAGTTGTGTGGTTGTGGTTAGTAGCTGTGGTCAGTAGTTGTCATCTGTAGTTATGTGGTCAGTAGTTGTGTGGTTTTGGTCAGTAGTTGTGTGGTTGTGGTCAGTCATTGTGGTCAGTAGCTGTCTGGTTGTGGTCAATAGTTGGGTGGTTCAGTAGTTGTGTAATCAGTGGTTGTGGTCAGTAGTTGTGGTTAGTAATTGTGTGGTTGTGGTCATTCGTTGTGTGGTTCAGTAGTTGTCTGGTCAGTTGTTTTGTGGTCAGTAGTTGTGTGGTTGTGGTCTCCTGTGGCTCAGCTGATAGAGCATGGCACCTGCAATACCAGGGTTGTGGTTTTGATTCACATGGGACCAGTAGTCAGTAGTTGTGTGGTCAGTAGTTGTGTGGTTGTGGTCAGTAGCTGAGGTCTGTAGCTGTGGTCAGTCATTGTGGTCAGAAGCTGTGTGGTTGTGGGCAGTAGTTATGTGGTCAGTAGTTGTGGTCAGTAGGGGTCAGTAGTTGTGGTCAGTAGTTTTGTGGTTAAGGTCAGTAGATGAGGTCTGTAGCTGTGGTCAATCGTTGTGGTCAGTAGTTATGGTCAGTAGCTGTGTGGTTTAGTAGCTGTGTGGCAGTAGTTGTGGTCAGTAGTTGTATGGTTGTGGTCAGTAGTTGTGGTCAGATTGATTGATTGATAGGATAGGATAGCCTGTGAAAGTTGGTTTGGTGTGTCTAGCTTGAATGGTTCAAGAGTTACCGTTGGTGAGTAATTCATGCTACTTTATGCAAATGAATATATATTTTTTAAGAATTTGTAAGTCAGGACAGCCTGAATGTTTTAAAGTTAGTCTTGCAAACCCATGTTAATTTATGCAAATGTAAAACATGGTTATAGTTCAAAAAGTATACACCGCATCAAAAATCCTTTAACAAGCAATCTAAGTTGGGCCAGACTGAACCTCACAACATTGGTTTGGAGTTGATATCATAAAAGAGGAAATACAGTGCCTTCAGAAAGTATTCACACCTCTAGACCTTTTACAAATTCTGTTGTGTTACAGCCTGAATTTAAAATGGATTAAATTGAGCTTTTTCTTGCCACTGGCTTAATTTGTAAGTCGCTCTGGATAAGAGCGTCTGCTAAATGACGTAAATGTAAATGTACACACAATACCCCATAATGTCAAAGTGGAATTGTGTTTTTTTTAAACATTTTTACAAATTAATGAAAAATGAAAAGCTGAAATGTCTTGAGTCAAAAAGTACTCAACCCCTTTGTTATGGCAAGCCTTAATAAGTTCAGAAGTAAAAATGTGCTTAACAAGTCACATAATAAGTTGAATGGACTCACTCTGTGTGCAATAATAGTGTTAAACATGATTTTTGAATGACTACCTCATCTCTGTACAACACACAAACAATTATCTGTAAGGTCCCTCAGTCGAGCAGTGAATTTCAAACACAGATTCAACCACAAAGACCAGGGAGTTTTTCCAATGCCTAGCAAAGAAGGACACATATTGGCAGGTGGGTAAAAATAGAAAAAGCAGCCATTGAATATCCCT